CGCTCCATCCATGCCTTTGTTCGCTCCATCCATGCCTTTGTTCGCTCCATCCATGCCTTTGTTCGCTCCATCCATGCCTTTGTTCGCTCCATCCATGCCTTTGTCCAATAAAGTTATGAGCCGTTCTTTTGAAGTTCGAATTTCATCTCGCCAGGTCCTGGATCTATCTGTTGCCGAGGGCTGGACGAACTGACGTGCATGTTGACTTTCTTTCACTTCACTTCACAATATGGATGAGATATCTGAAGAGATAGAGAAGCTTATGCAACGAGTCGTCAATTCCATCTCACATCACCGTTCTGTTGTTTAGATAGACCTAGGTCCACTTTCAGAAGATACGAAACGAGATAAGGAGGAAACGAAAGCCGTTTATCAAACGGATGATTATGGGACAGTGGCCTCGTAGAAGTGGGACAGTGGCCTCGTAGAAGTGGGACAGTGGCCTCGTAGAAGTGGGACAGTGGCCTCGTAGAAGTGGCCCCCAGTGATACTATCTATGATAAGGACGTATTGTGGTGGCCAAGGAAGGTGTGCAAGAACAGTGTGCAGGCGGTCCTGAACTGGCGCGTGAGGAAACAGCAGAGCAGGAGACGCCGCGGGGGCTGTTGAACGCCCTCGGTGTGGGGACCTGGCTGTTTCGGATGTGAAGAAGGAGCCAGTCTTGCTGAGGCCCCCCTCCTTCAGCTCGTCGTCGGTTGCGGGTCCGGCTTTGTCTCGGTGTAGGAGTCTCGAGTCTTAGGGGAAGTCTACTTTCCCGAGGGCCATGACGGTGGTGGTGAAAAGGCCATTCCCGCCGTGGCGAATGCGGATTCATGGAGGCTATGTTGCCGGAACAACGACTACAGGTCTTAAAGACTACAGGGTCCGCGACTGCCGCTTCTACGACGGCAGCGTCTACGACTACAGCGATCCACCCGAATACACCCCGTTTTCAAAATTGGGGCCGTACACGAGGGCTCGTAACCAAGTTCATGTTGACTGACGCAACAAAGTTCGTACACAAAATTGAGGTGTGTGCAACCCGGCTCCAGGGTGCCGGAGTGCCAGAACAAGCGTGCGCTTGACCCCAGAAACACACGACTTGAGGCGGAAAAGCTGAGGATACGTATGTCAAGTGCGAAGACACCTTTACAGCGACGTAGTCCCCGTGGGAGTAGCGTTTAAATTTGGCAGGTAGACAATTATTAGAACTACGAGTTGCGGTCGCGTAATGAGATGCGGTCGCGTAATGAGAGTCGGCATGGATGGAGGATCAGTTCATGATGAACAAATTCCCCGTCCTGTGCGTTGCCAACTGCACGCCACCAACACCAGCTATGGCCACTGACACCGCCCAACCTTTTCCGAGTTCAAAATCCAGGGATGGGTTGCCGAGGGTCGCAGTGCACCAGGTAGCGGCTATCGAACACGCTTACACTAAATATCTGCATCCATCTTGCTGCACTCCACTCAGTCTCCTCCAGCGAACACAACACACTGCGATTGCGGGCCGCCTTTCCCGGACACGGGCACCGGTGTCGCCGTTACCTTGGTCACCCTGACACCGACCCTGACCCCGGTCACTGGCCTCGGTAGCTGGCCTCGGTGGCTGGCGTTGCTTGCGCTTCGAATTACTCTCGCTCCACCTGGAAATCTCGACAGACATTTAGCGGCTACTGGTCGACGGTAAAGCTACTACTAGAAGCTCGCCGCCGACGACCAAAACTAGGAAGTCCCCCGGGGCTGATTAAAGGTTGTGGAAAGGAACAGAGGCTCAGCGAATGCCGTCTGCGGCCGGATGACCATCTGTTATTCCGTCACGACGTCCACCGGAGTACGTTCAAGCCAGTACGTTCTGCTTGCTTTCCCAGAGGTGAAAGGTTTTGTTCGGTCTTTTTTGATGCGGTTTCCAATGCGGTCTTCGGCCGTGCGACTTCCTTGTCCGACGCGGCGTGCTGGAGCGAGCTGAGCCTAGAGCCTGCTAATGTAGCATGCTGGTCAGATACTATGTTGGCAAGGAGCCATGTTAGGTAAACAGACATGTTAGGTAAACAGAGGTGATTAAGCGATACAGTCGCAGGCAGATTAAGAGTTGGTGATGGCTGTTGAATTATCTTGGTCGTGTGTTGGTGTCTCGTCGGGACTGACCCAAGGCAAAAATGTGAGCCTTAGCCATTGGTTATAGTAGGGGCAGGTGGAAGGGGTGACTTTTGAGGACAGTTCTAGGGCGTCCGTTTCGGTTTTTGTAGCGATATAGGAGAGTGTACTCTGGGATTTTCTTTCTTTAGGATTGATATCATTTCTTCGAAGGAGCAAGGAATCGAATTTATCTACATCCTCTATCTGGCAAACATCCTGCAACGGGCAGGACGTGCATGGTAATCGTTCGATGTCTTCAAAGCTGGGCCATGCCGCATAAGAATAGACAGCATCATCACCATTGGACTCTATAACTATTTGATCCAGAATTAAAGAGTGAATTACAAAGTCGATATCGTATTCTGTTAGCTGTTGTCCTAACTCACTAGTAAATATGTATTGCAATAGTTGAGTCTTCGAACACATATGATGTGACGCCAAATACGTTGTTATTTTCTGACGGTACGCATCCACCAATTCTGTGTTGAATTCCCCATCCTTGTAAAAACAGCCTCCTGCAATTTTTTGATTCGGTTCCAGGTCGTATAGCAAATAAAGCTTCCTACCTCGGTCACTGACAGACTTTACTGCCTTGATCATCTTATCCGTTTCCAGAGACTTCATAGATCTATTCAACACCGCCATCTGCATTAAAGGCCGACCAAGCTTACGCAAACGGTCATTAAGAGAACGAGAAATGTCCCGGCTACTTATACCCTCAGAACCCGACTGCTCAATCGTCTGATAGATTGCGTAACTCTCCGGACTTGTTAACCCTTTCAACTTCATCACCACTTCCTGCTTCCGAATCACGATGCCAAAGTCTTCCGTGGAATTCTCAAACTCTTTCGGAACATATGCCAAACGATTCTGGACCAGCTTCATCAAGACCTGTCGACCCTTCCCAGAAGTGAAACTAAATGGCGGTCCTGTCAACTCACTCAGCAGCACACGACCACTGTCACTCTTCTGAGCATGCTGGTATACTTGCTTCAAATCATCCGGGGTCACTATATCCGTCATTTTAGCCAACAAAAATACCCCCACCAGACCTGACCCCGAATTTCACCCAACGGATTCGTCCTCCCTGACCCAACGGGTTCGTACTCACTCCTCCTACTCAAAGGGTCCCTACTCAAAGGGTCCCTACTCAAAGGGTCCCTACTCAAAGGGCCCGGTCCGAACCCGATCTGTCCACCCGTTCGGCCAGCCAAGTTCGGCCGACCAACCCGGTTGCGCCGCACCCATTTAGTCAGCCAATTTATTCCTTTGTTCATAACGCTCGCAAGCTCATATATAGCGCTGGTCCAACAGCCGATGGCCACTGCTAGACAACAGCTCCGAAGGTGGCCGCTGCCATTCGTGAGATGCTTTTTACCTCTCACTCCTCCTAATCGATACTCCTAACCGATCATTCCTGGCATAGCATTGAACACTTTCTACTTCTTGTTGAAAACCGCCATCCTGGTCTTGTGCGCGGGTAGACTATCTATAAAAATCAATCGTCGATTAGTTCTTCGAACGCGGGAGCTATAGCTCTACAAAGCAAAACTAATATAGTCGGAAAGAGGGAACGGGAAAGCCCGTTCCAAGAAATCGCTTCGGATAGCGGGTTGGGAGAGAGCGCGCACACGTGTGTGCTTACGTTTCTAATTCATTTGCTAGACGGTAGTAGGTAGATCCTTCACCGTTATAATAGCGGCAATTGTCGAACATCAGCTTTAGGTGGGCGCCGAATTCATCCTTGGATTTATATACTGAAAAGAGTCGGATACTGTGTTGCAAGCAGCATGTCGGGTGTCTGCCGAATGTAAACAGTTTGTTGGTGAGGAAATGCTTCGTACCTTTGCTCTTGGCATTTTTTCTCATGAGGCTAATGTCCATAGGGTGTTTGATGTAGTCTTTATAGTCCGGAGCTATTTGTTTACTGACAGGTTTTTGGAACGGCCAGGATGATTCATGCTTGCTCATTTGCTCGATGAACTTGAGAATCTGTTCGTTCAGAGGGAGAGCGGCCCTTTGTTTGGTATTTTTCTCGTAGTTGGCCCAGCCGTTTTCGAGGAAGCCCGGAATGGTGGAGGGGTCGACATGTTCGGGTAGTTTGCTGACGTCTCTATCCATGAGGGAGGCGGCAATGGGTGACGGTGCGTTCTCGAGTGCTTCCCTGCTTGCGGTTTCCGTGCCTCCTTCCGTGCTCGCCCCGCCCTCCGTAGCTTCTTCACCGGCTCGCGCGGGTGCGCTCGCCCGAGGGCCTGTGCGAGGTGGTCCGGGGAAGAAGGCGTTAGAAGGCGCCTTGTAGCGGGCGTCGAACTCCTCCTGGGTGTAAGGTCTGTAACCTTCCCATAAAGAGGCTCCGCTATAAATTTTGGGGGTGCTAACAAGACGCATGGTTTTCAAAACCATTTTCCGCTGGTTCACGAAGGCGTCTCCGAGGGAGAGGTAGTTTATATTGGGGTTGATCACGCACTCCATGAGAGTGCCGCCGTCGTAGTCCTTGATGAAGCCAACCCAGCGGTCTTTGCTCATGGTAATGGTGGTGGAGAAGCCCTGTTTGCGGAAGTAGCCTAGCGCGAAGTTGTCGGCGTAGGTGAGGAAGTACTCGAAGCTGCGATGTCGCAGGTACTCCTTGAGGTGGTTCATAAGTCGCGTACCGTAGCCCTTGACCTGTTCCGTGCTGGTGATAGCCAGAAAGACGATTTCAACGAACCGCGACTGGAAGAAAGGTCTGAAACAGACGCCACCTATGACGCGTCCTCCCTTGACCAGACAGAAGCTATAGTGCTGCCGATCGAAGGTAAGACGCGTTATATATTCCCTCGGCATTCGCGGTAACTGCCGGCTAAATATCGATTTGAGCGTCATCAAGTCGACCATACGCCCAGGTGTGCGGTCATTAGATAAGCAGCGGAATTCGATAATGCCCGCCTTCTCTTCCGCTGCGCCACCTCGATCGCGGGTAATGAAGCCCAGACCGAACTCACAATTCAACATCGACTCTAATTGAACTGGATTTCGCTGGCCGAAACATTCGTGTAGCACATGTGCGCAAATCTCAGTGGGGATGCAACACACTACGCACAATCGCCGATACAGGTCACCACGACAGTCCTCGAAAACCGTCTTGCGCCACTCCTCAAGCAGACTAAGACCATACGCTGCCAAACATGCGCGCAATTCGAATCCTGATAAGCTCTCGCTTGCGCTCACTATACGCCCGCTCTCACCCAACAACCAACGTTTCCACCTCGCATAGCATTCACGATAGTAACAGTCACCCACCGCACGGCCTGACTCATGTGGCGCCAACCAGTGCTGGATATTTAACGCAGAAATTACTTGCTTCACCTGCACCTCATGAGGAACCTTCACATCCTCACAAACGCCCTCCCCACAAACACCCGGCCCCCGCTCAGACCCCCGCTCAGACACCGGCTCAGACCCACTGCGCTGTAACACAGACTCCACCACTTGCCGGATCGTCTGCGACCTCAAGTACGCCGCTTCGCTCTTCTTTAGAGGCGGCAACACATGATGCATATTTATCCCAGATAAAATACCACTCCTACCCCCGCCACTCTTTCACCCACTCCCTGCACCTCTTTCCCCACTACACAACCCCTACGCACTCTAACAGTGGGTGTGTGCCAACGGACACACCCACTGTGCCACACAGTACTACCACACGCAAAGTGCCACATGCAAGTGCCACACGCAAAGTGCCACACAGCCGCCGCCCAATCAGAACGAACCACCCAGCGCACTGTTCAACGCACACGTGATCCACAATACCGACCAGCACCGGCTCGTGATTGTCACAACCACTGGTCACAACCAGCGGTGGTCACAACCCGTGATGGCCACAACCTACCGGCTGCCGAAAAAACTAAACGGTTCTGTTTTAGGTTACCCCTCAGAATTTCTTCGCCGGATTGACGAAGAATTGACGTGGTCGATTACTCACCTGAATCGCCGAAACGGCCTCCTGAACGGATGCATGGGCCGTTGTACGTTGACCCTCCCCCCCCCCCCGCCGCG